CAAACAAACAGTACGGTCTATTAATACAGAGAAAAACAGAGACAAATAACATACCGAACAGTAGCTAGAGAATAGGAAAAATGAGTCAACAAGCCAAAATTGTTTTACAATGAACATTAAACTGTGATTGGTTAATAAAGAGACACAGTCGTACAAGGTCAAAAGGAGTTGATGTGGTGGTGGGCGTTTCCCTTATTATTGGTGGGTTCGTCTATCAACCACATTTTACAGAGGATGATCAGGAAAAGCAGAAGGTATGGCACACTATTATGGGACAAGAAACCTATAATCATCAAGAACCGTACTCTTCGCCTGCTAAGCCGAAAAAGGCACTGTTGGGCGGAATACAAGCGAACTAATAACGATGGAGCGTATAGGCAATATAAACATATCAGGAACATATGCACAAAGGCTATAAGAGAAGATAGGCTTCAGCACCAGACAAAGCTTATGGAAAAATTTGCATCTAATCCTAAAAGCTTATTCCGTTATGCAGCCTCTCTTCGTCAAGCCGAGACTGGGTTTTCCCAACTGGTAGGTCTTAACGGCCCGAACAACAACGATGGCGACGCCACTAACCTTCTGGCTGAACATTACTCCCAGACATTTCAACCGACCGACATCAACTTTACTGATGGCAGTTTCATCTGCAATTCCATAGGACTTTCCGAAGTGAACCTCAGCGCTGACTTGGTGTTCCGGAAACTGTAGCACTTAAGAATAGACACTTCTTCTGGCCCGGACATGGTCCATTCCGCCATGCTGAGGGAAGCAGCCTCAATCCTGGCAACGCCGCTTGGCGTGATGTTCTCACACTCGTTAAGTCGAGGAAAAATTCCGGAAAATTGGAGGCTGGCTCACATCACACTAACTTGCCGACGACGTGAAACTTTGGTGAGGGATACGCAACCAAGACGATATACAGACAGTTCAGGAGGATCTGACTCGACTTCAAAGTTGGGCAGACGATAACGGACTTACCCTTAACACTTCAAAGTGTAAAGTAGTCCATCTGCAACATGCCGTAGACTACAGTTATAACTTAGGAAACTCCTCTCTAGTAGTATCCCAAGTCGAAAAAGATTTAGGAGTCCTGGTGCCCCATGACTTAAAGTCTTATGCCAACTGTGACAAAATTGCCTTCCGAGCAAACCTTGCACTGGTAACGTCGAAGTGCATTTTTGGTCAGTTTGACAGAAGAACTTTCCATACAATCTTCAATAGTTTTATCTGTCCCCATTTACAGTACGGAGACATAGTATTCCTACCCTCACTCCCAAATGATAAGTACACCCTGGAGCGTATCCAACAGCAAGCCACGAAATCAGTTCGAGGACTCAAATTCAAAACTTACGAAGAGCTCCTCCGTTCACTAGACCTTTATCCACTAGAATATAGGCGTCTTAGAGGTGATTTATTAATGGCTTATAGTATTCTCAACACTTCTGGACATCCTCTTAAACACCTACTTAAGCTTAGTTCGAATAATAACCTAAGGGGTAACACCCAGAAACTGGAAACACAACATAGCAAGACGGAATGTAGACACAACTTCTACTCCTTAAGAGTTGTCAAAAGCTGGAACTCGCTGCTGGCCGAGCTAGTCCGAGCGACTTCTCAGGAGTCCTTCAAGAGGCAACTTGACCTATTCTTAAGAACCAAGGACAGCATCACACTATGATTTACCAATTTCTTTTCCTCTTTTATTGTTAACATACCTAGGTTCCTGCCTGGAGGATTTCGTGATCCCCTGCTACTATACACGGAAGCCTGTTAAGCGAAAGCTTCTTCTATTTCGTCCACAACCATTTGAACCATTTGAACTAAATAGCGCGGAACATGAAGAGTGAAGGCCACTAGGACTTCACGATAGCAACTGTCGTGAGTTTGTATTTTATCTCATTCTGGTTGGGGTTGGCTCTTAATGACTCTATTTGTAATGACTATTTGTATGTTTACGGCATTATTTCCTTGGGCCACTACGTTATCTTGCTTTTTTGGTGATGGATGTATTTTTCATGCACATACAGCATCAGTGATGTGACCAGGGAATCAGCTATCATTCAAGCACTGTTCAAAAAGCTCTAATCATAGTTTTTACCATGTTCAGGCTAGCCTCACAGTAGCCTGGAATTTGTTATAAATGTGAGCTTTTCGATTACCTTCACACTGCTTATTACTTAATGATACCAGCCATAAGTGAAGAAGACGAGGTGACTAAAATGACATATGGTGCTATGAAATAAAGAAAAATTGTTTTGAAGTAGCATCGGTTTTTCTTAAACGGCTTCGCAGACGGAGTCAGTGGGTTGAGATGTCACTAGTCATATCTGGTCCACGAGGGGTAACATGTGTTAGTAAAAACCCAGTTAATCTATCTGTTATAACTAATCCACCATCCCTAGGAATCTCATTAGCTAGTCCATCAAACCCAACTCCTGTCCCTCGCTCTAAATTGCTTATAGCCTTTTTAACCTCACCATTTTATTTATTTATTTGAACACAAGTATTGGTACTAAGGAGCCCCGAATACATATGCGCCACATACGTCACTTTATATGTGTTTGGGGTGTGATACTGTCCCGGGTACCCAGACTGAAGCAAACCAATCTCAATAAGAGTTGGGGGATTTACATCAGTTCGCCATTCAGTTTTTTGTGTAATTGTGGGTGACCGAAGTGCGGCTGAAGGCTATTTGAATTGTCCCTAGTGTTCTTCCCATCGGTCCAATCTCCTGGATTGAGAGCAAATATTGGTCCCGTTTTTTTTCGAGATAGTTTCACTAACAGCCAGACTTCTAATATTCGTTTTTTGGTATGAAAAGTTGTCTGCTGTGACCTACATGTAGCTTATTTCTGTATGAACTCACTCAGTCAGCTACAACGTAGGACCAGGTACATATATGCATCGGTCCAAGTTGTCATACTTCATTAGCACAACAAGATAAAAACCAAATTTAAGGTAGTTAATTCAATTATGGTAATATATGAAATAAAGATTGTGTATAAGGATGTACTACAGGAAGAAAGAATTAAAAAGCAAGGTGTAAAGTAATTTTAATCCCGTTCAAGGAAAGACAAATAGTGTATACATCCAAACGATTGTGATCGATTCTTAGCCATGTCACCCAGAATCTGCAAACATTGGTTACGATAGTCCTCTGAAACCACGCTCTAACTACATGTAGGAGCTTTTAACGTTCGAACACTGTGCCAAATAGGACAACAGGCTTCCTTAGCTAGTTCTTTAGGATCTCACGTCATCGATATGTGCTGCGTCTCCGAAACGCACATACAGGATCCGAGTAGCGTCATTCATTTGACATAACCATATCAAAATGAAGAACCGTCTCGATTCACGCTTCGTGTATCTGGAAGCTCTGATGCAGCTTCCTGTGGCCTCGCTGGTATAGGTATTACATATAGTCCTAGGGCAGAACTATCTCTCTTAGACTGGGTCCCAGTAGACTGGTTTGTGCGCTATTCGACTAAATGGAACAGTAAGGACTCGGAAAGATAGGCACACTCGTCGTTGCCTCTTCGTCGCCTCTGCCTATTCTCCCACTGACTGCAGCTCAGATGATGTAAAAGATGAGTTTTACAGAAAGCTCTCCGACCTTCTCCAAAACGTCAGGCGCTCTGATGTAGTAATAGTTGCTGGTAACTTCAATGCTCAAGTAGGTAAACTAAGTGAAAAGGAAAGACATCTGGGTGGATCTTATGGTGTCGTGGTTCAAAGAACAGGTAATGACGACCGTCTATTGCAGCTATACTCAGAAAACCGCCTGTTTTTTGCAAATATTAGCTTTAAGCATAAGGAAAAACATCTTTTGACATGACGACCCCCGAATTCGTCCCAAAGTTGGACCCAAATGGATCACATCGCTATCAGCCATCGATGGAGAGGCTCGATAGAAGACTGTCGCTCGTTCTGGAGCACATGCTTAGATTCAGATCATGCTCTAGTGCGAGCGCGTATTTGCTTGCGTCTTACTGGACGTAGGAAAGACGCTGCAAGGAAACCTCTTAGGGTTCCACTTAATGATAGCCAGGCTAATAATATACTTCACGAACAACTAGGAAAACAGTTAGGCAGCCATGTATGTGATGCCTACCCCGAGGCAGCATGGAATGATATCCTGAAAGCTGTGAAAACACCAGTGACATCTGCTAGTACGGTGAACCATTAGGTTAGGGAGCAACACTGGAACTCAGCAGCATCTACCGCACTGTCAGATGCTCGAAAATTCATTCCATCTGGCTCTGAACATAACGAAGAGCGGAGTCAGCTTAAGCGCAAGCTGACAAGAAGCCTACGCAATGATCGTGAACAGTGGTGTGTAGCAAAAGCAAGAGAGATGGAAAAGGCAGCAGGAATAGGTAACAGCATACAACTGTTCAGACTTGTCAAGGAAATTGGTATTAGGAATCCAATTGTTAGCGAAACTATATCGGGAAAAGATAGACATATTATTCGCTCTCAATCCAGGGGACTGGGTCGATGAGCAGAACACTTTATGGATCAGTTCAACTGGCCTTCAGCCACACTTCGGTTTCCCACAATCCCTAGTCAAGTTGATATAAGTCCTCTAACTCTTTACGAAGTTGAAAAAGCTATGGGAAATCTGAAGTGAGGGAGAACAGCAGGCCCTGACATGTTTACTCTTGAGATTTCTAAGGATGATGGTCCAGTATTAACAGTGAGATTGACTGAGGTCTTAGGTAGAATCTGGGAACTGAACGTAATCCTATCTGACTATAACTATAAATCATATGAAGCTTTTTTAGCTGTCCTCTCAATGTACTACTATGTCAGTTTTTACTCATACCCTTATATGTTGTCTTCCACATAGTTGGCGTGATTTTGTCATTCAATGAGTCAGAAAACAATCAATTAATTCCATGTTGTTTCCAATCAAATTTTCCCTTTTTTATTTTAAAAGCATTTCCAATACGAACGTTTTCTATCTTCCTCATCTAAAAACATACCTAACCAAAAGAATGGATCATGCCCACGGTTCTCATCATTCACCGGCCCATGCTGGTATGCAGTCAAGCGATCATTCCATGGATATGAAAGTATGACTCATTTCTATCATACAAAATGATTTATAGATGTATTTCAATACTGATATGCACTATACATTGCTTTTTTCATCCTGGATTATTGATACAGTTGGAAGTAAATGATGTTTTTCCTAAAACCATACTCTTAACTTATAGAAGCGATTGTAGCGTGTCTTGGCTCTTTCATATTCGCTATCATATATGAGGCCCTAGAAGTAAGTTGTTATTTTGTTTATGTGCTGACGTCTGTTAATTTAACCTGTCTCTGAATAGAACAGTTATTAGTCTTATTATGATGAAGTTATGGTATTTATCTCTTTAATTTTAGTAGTAGATATTACCTACCCAAAATCCACGCAGGTTGTTCCTTGAAGTCACATTACGCTACAATTAATTGCTAATAACACACAAAGCTTTTAGAGGCGATCTTGAATGTTGTTAGGAGTATGAGGGTGGTTATCACTTCCCGGTTGCCCACACCGTGGAAGGGTTCTTCTTTCAGGTCGAAGGCTCCGGATGTGGCGCCTTAAGAAAACCACCTACTTCGGGTTGGGCACTCGGGTAGTATCGCAGCCCTCACATATATCAAATGAGATCTGTGTGGTGCCTCCTTGTATCAATATCTGTGTTCAAATAAAATAAATAAATAAATACAGTCAACAGTACGACTTCGCCTTCAGACTTTGGGTTTGCTGCTTTTAGTCGTACCGCTCTTCAGCCGACCTGTCTGGCATGGTGGGACCTTGCGGAACTATTTTTCCAGCCAATGTAGCTCGATTTGTTCATCACGATAGACAAACCCGACCACCACGTCAACTTAGCTACAACGGTTGGGCATAAAGCTTGGTGTACGAGATGTTACAATCGCACTTGATGAACTGGAATAGCGGTTTTGTGAAGTATTGATTTACGGAAGAATATTTTGTAATAATAGACATTGTAATAATGAGAAACTAGCAAGAGATATGTTCCTGATAATAGCACATTTTAATAATAAGAATCACATTAGGCTCACTACTAGTTCGTACACGGAGACATGTCTAGTAACATCTCAACCCGCTGACTCCGTCTGCGAAGCCGTTTAAGAAAAACCGATGCTACTTCAAAACAATTGTTCTTTATTTCATAGCACCATATGTCATTTTAGTCACCTCGTCTTCTTCACTTATGGCTGGTATCATTAAGTAATAAGCAGTGTGAAGGTAATCGAAAACCTCACATTTATGAAGCTATTGAATGTCAGTGACTGAACAATGATTTTTAGTATTCCCAAACAGAAGTCGCGCCTCAGCGCTTGCTTACTTCTGTTACCCCTCGTAGAGGAGAATAAACTCCCCACCAGTATTCTCCATCCAGTTGCTATTCATCCTTCTCATATCTGCTTCTAATTCCCGACGCAATGTGTTCCTTGATCTTCCTTATTTCCATTTTCCTCTAGGATTCCAAGCTAGGGCTTGCCTCCTGATGCAGTTTGATGATTTCCGTGATGTATGTCCTATCCCTTTCCAACGTCTTTTCCCTATTTCGTTTCATCTGGAAGTTGGTTTGTTCTCTCTCATAGTAGGTCGTTGCTGACCGTATCCGACTAACGGACATGGAGTGTCTTGTGTAGACAATTGTTTATAAATACTTGTACTTTTTTGATGATAGTTGTAGTAGTTTCAGCTCCATACGGTAGAATTGTCTTGACTAACGTCTGCATTGAAGATTGTGACTTTGATATTGGTTGACCGTTGTTTTGAGCTTCATTCGTTCTCCAGTTTTATGAATACCAACCTTGCTTTGGTAATCTTTACTTTTATATCTACATCAAATCCTCCATGTTTATTGATGGTGCTTCTCAGGCGCGTAAAGGATTCCACCTCTTCTATAGCTTCTCCATTAAGTGTGATTGGACTGGTGTTCTCTATGTTGTATTTCAGGATCTGGCTTTATCCTTTGTGTGTGCTGAGGCCTACTGATGCAGAGGCTACTACTACACTAGTTGTGTTGAGCTGTATTTGTCAGTGTGTGTAGGATAGAAGAGCCAAGTCATCTACTAAGTCCGAATATTCTAATTGATTCCGAGCTGTCCATTGTATTCTGTGCTTTCACTCAAACATCGTGGTCTCCCTAATCCAGTCGACCATCAGAAGAAAGAGGAAGAATGAAAGTAAGCAGCTTTGTCTGACTCTGGTCGTCACTTGGAATGCATCTGTCAAGTTTGGAGAAAATCATGTAAAATTTCGAATCGGTAGTTAGTCGTCAGTTCTTTACTGGGATCTTCGATATTGGTTTCTGAGATATAGCAGACATCAATAGCAAGAATGCAGACTCAATCTTTTGTTCGATATGCATGAAGGTGCAAACGCTTAAGGTCATTAATTTAAATTGTATATATGACTTATGAATGGCTTCAGATATCGCATCGAGCTATATCCTTGATAAACCTGCCATTCAATTGCTAAATATACGTGGTAACTCCCAACGAAGACCATTTGTGGATAAGAATGTCAGAAAATCCATTTTGAAATACACTTGAACAACAGTATTGTACTAACAATAATGAATAATCAAAATTTATTATCCGAAAGTTTACTATAAAGTTAAATAGTAGATAGAAAGTAAAGTATGGTTTTGATAGGAACGGTTATGGATTTTTTGTCATTGCATGTGTCACATGTTCCGTGAATGTTTAATTTCAAATATCTATTTCTAAAAATCAATATTCTGATTGGAATTTTTTAAAACAGTCTCCAACGTCTGATGGAATTTTCCATTTATAATTTTATTGTGTTATTTTAATTTTGTTCAATCTGTATTTTTATGCCTTCCTTGTATTAACACTTTTCCCCTCGAATGACACAAAATATCTTTTAAATCACAGACATTACGACATAAATTGCTTTTACGGGCAGCATGTAACAATCAGTGTGAACGTGCTGGAAATTCCTACGGTGGTCCATCATGTCCAGGTTGTCCAAATTCGTCGGATTCCAATTCCAACAAAGGATATCTTAATCCCGTTGAATCGAATGAAGAAGTCCATGTTAACGTTTTTTCGAATTCTTATCGTGAAAAACTTCGTTCGTAAGTACCTTTTTGCGAAACGTGTCTATAATTTTTTCCTCAATAATACAGTAACACTATTGAGTACTTAATGTATCTTAAGTATCATTTGATTTCTTAAGTGTAAGAACAATAATGTCTAGAGAATACGATAAACTTATTCTAACTTATTCCTTTTCCTTAGCTACAGATATTTCTAGAATTCGCTTTTTAATTTTTTTGAATACTTAGTTTGATTTGTGACTAATACTCCAGAGCCATTGCTTTTGTTACATAGGTAATTATTCAAATAACATTGGTTACAAGCAAGTTTTTTTTCTTATTGTCTCACAAAACACGACGGCCTGCTTGAATATTTGGGCTACCTGTTCCAATCATCTAGATATTTCAACGAGTTATCTTTTTATTTTGCTTTAATACATTGTTATATCTATTAGTCGCACAACCCATTCAGGTGCGTATATGAAGAGTTTACGAGCTATCTTTTTACAAGGTACAAAAAATACAATTAGAGACATCGCGATGACTGGCAATATGCATTGGAAAGAATAAACATTAATCAAATGTCGATTCCTGAACTGAATTCTAACTGCTGATCACTAGTTGGCTAAGTGGACTATCTTCAATTTCCATTAAGTCTAAACATGTATCGTAAGTGTGGTGTAATCACAGTTCAGGAATCATGATTAAATGATTTACAAGATGATTGCTCAGTATCACTACAAGATTTCAAGGTCTTACGGTGGTGTAGCTACATTTGTAAATATGAACTGGTGTCGATCTACTTTTGCGTGTTTTAAGTTTTTGAACGACTTTTTCGACTGTGTAACTTTGAGATGCTGTCCAAAACACATGGTTAAATACAATTATGTTTATGTCACCAACATCTACGTGACTTCGGACTGTATATCACCTGCACTATCTATTTTCGTGGATTAATTAACTGAATTTGCTGTTACTGCCTTCAGTGGTTCACTTTCAATTGTATGCGATGATTTTAATTCATGTGACTAGCTTTCTCTCATCACTAGGTCACCAAAATGTAATAGAGTTTCACACTCGTTTTGACGCCTATTTAGACTTAGTTCCCACTAATGATGTGGTATATGTGTGACTCGTAAACGTGCTCCATTGTCTAGTTTTGGTCATTGTATAATTCGTATTTTACCTAAATTATATAGCAAGCTAGGAAAGCGTAAACTCTTACATCAAACAAAGAAAGTTATATGCAGAAGTTACTCAAAAAATGTCTAAAATATGAAAAAGATGTGTGACCAACTGGGAATTATTTGCAGATAACTCATTGGAAAACACCGTTGATGTTATTACCTGTTATCTTAAATTCTGTTTTCATATTTGTTGTCACACTGAAATCCTTTTTGTAAGTTTTGATCGACTTACATTGGTACAACTTAAACGATTACGGAGAATAAAAGAAGGACTGTACAGGGAGAGAAACTCTATGGAAGTTGGAGGGCTAAATGATCTAATAAACCTAGAAATTAGATGTCTGAACCCTATGTTTACTCAGAAACCCTTATCTTGTAAAAACTTTTCAAGTATGTGGAAACTATTTAAAGAGCTTACAAGTGAGAGACACATTAGAGGTGGTAACCAACTGAATGTTTGTGACTTAAATAGGTCTTTTGTACGTCATTCATCTGATGTCATACTTCTTATATATACACACACATGTTTGAATAATGTGTTCCGACTTTCACTGAAACTGATGTCCGAAAATGTATCTAGTCACTTAACTCGTCTCAGTGTTTAGGACTTGATGAAATCCCACACTTCTTTGTTTTTAAATGTTCCGACGTTCTGTGTTATCCATTCATGAGCATCTTTAATAAATCTTTCTCAACTAATCTCATACCGAAAATGCAGAGAAGGATAAACATAATCCCAATACCTAAGAAAGTATCTGGCCGTAAGTATTTGAAATTTGAATCCATTGCAATTACTTCACCTTTTCTCTAAACAATAGGAAAATAATTGATACTCCTACTTCAAATTGCACTAAAAGAGCACATTGATCCGTATCAATTTGTTTACGAACGCAAAAGAAGCACATCAGATGCTGCTGTTGTTCTGCATCATTATATGGTGTTCAGCTTGGAAAAGGGTAAGAAGTGTGTTCGATACACTTTTCTTTACGATACTTCTGCCTTTGACTCTATTCCAAGAGAACTACTACTTAACAAGTTAATCAGCTCCAACACTGATAGCTGGATAACCAACTGGCTATGTTCCTATCTGTGAAAGAGAACACTACACAGTGTTTGGAGGAAGGTGTTCGACGTTTCATGGTGTGGCACAACGAGCTATTCTTCCCTCTCCTCTTCCTTCTTATTTTTCTGCATGATCTACCATCATCCACAGAAAACACGTTCTTTTAAATATGCGGACGATCTCACTGTATATATGCCGATTTCTACCTCTTTACATCCCTTTGAAATGAATGAGTTCTTGTTTCTTATTGAATAGTAGTCTGTTGTTAATGATTTTACACTTAACCATTCTAAATGTCAAACTGTTAACATCAGTCTGAGAAATGAACAGCACCTAAACGCCCTTTTGGAATCCCATAAAGCTTGTACCATTGGAGGATTCTTCGATAAACACAGTGTCGAAGTTCATTTATCTTAGTGTAAGTTTCGTCTAACTTACTACATAAAGGGGTTGCATGCTTTTGTCATTACTCCATATTTACTCTTACGATTTGTCAATTCTCGCGTACTACCTATTATTCTTTACTGTTCTGAATTATTCTTTCCCGTGCTTTCAAGAAAAGACTTTGCTGTATTGAGGAGAGTGCTGACGGTTGTTAGTAGGGTTTATGGTAAATTTTTTAAGGTCATTATTAATGTGGTTGTGGTTGCGAACTCCTCACAGGTGTTATCTTATCAAATACAAACCATCCACTTTATTCACATATTTTTCCTTGTATATCCTGGTGGAATGATATTTCTATACATCAGAACCCATGCACGCAAGAAAAAATATGATAGTTCTACATTGCCTTATCTGGCAAATATACAATGTGATGAACAGGTTGTTCAAGTTGATCTAGTCAATAACTTGTATTCTTAAACATGTTTCTAATTTTTTTTTAAAATTGTACAGATTCAAATCTTTAAAAAAACATTTCATTTAACTCCGTGCAGTTTGTTTGCTTGACTTTTGTATATATGTTTGCAGTTATCAGTTTCTCGCACCTTTTTTTTCTTTTTTTGTCAATGTAACTTGTTGAAATACCTTGTGCTAAAAATTCGATATTGTACCAGAACTATAATATTGAAGAAATCCATTAACAATAATGATAACAACAATGATAGTGATAATATTGTCAGTGGAAATTCTTTCAATTTTGTATTTTCCGTAGATTTTGTCTTAAAATACCAGTAGTTTATTATTTTAAACATTTTATGGATTGGACTAAATGAAAGAAATGCAACAGAATTTGCTTTTACTTACTTACACCTGTTACTCCTAATGGAGCATAGGCCGCTGACCAACATTCTCCAACCCACTCTGTCCTGGGCCTTCTTTCCTAGTTCCATCCAATCCTTGTTCATTTTTCTCATGTCTGTATCCATTTCCCGGCGTAATGTGTCCCTTGTTCTTCTTCTTTTCCTTTGGCCTTGAGGATTACATGTAAGGGCTTGTCTTGTGTCGCAGTCGGGTGCTTTCCTCAATGTGTGTCCTATTCACTTCCAGCGCTCCTTTCTCATTCCTTCCACTGGGATCTGGTGTGTTCTCTCCCACAGTAGGTTGTTGCTAATAGTGTTCGGCCAACGGATCCGAAGTATTTTGCGTAGACAACTGTTAATAAACATCTGTATCTTCTGGATGATGGCTTTCGTAGTTCTCCAGGTTTCCGCCCCATACAGTAGAACTGTCTTGACATTTGTATTGAGAATCCTGACCTTGGTGTTGGTTGACAGTTGTTTTGAGTTCCATATGTTCTTCAATTGTAAATATGCTGCTCTTGCTTTTCCGATCCGCGCTTTCACATCTGCATCAGATCCACCCTGTTCACCAATGATGCTGCCCAAATATGTAAAGGTTTTTACATCTTCCAAATCTTCTCCGTCAATTGTGGTTGGATTGGTGCATGCTGTGTTGTATCGGAGAATCTTGCTTTTCCCTTTGTGTATATTGAGACCTACTGCTGCTGAGGCTGCTGCTACACTGGTCGTTTTCTCCTGCATTTGTTGTTGCGTGTGAGATAGGAGGGCCAGATCATCTGCGAAGTCTAGAATTTGCTCACTTTAGTTAAATGATCACCAAATGCCAAATATAACAAACCTTAAAGTATGGATACAGCTATACTGCTGCCATATACGGTAATTTTTTTAAATAGAACAGAAATGACAAAACTGTCACAGAAATGCAAGTTGGAGACGATAAATATCAATGTATTCCTGTGATTGTCCTTACTTTTCACTTCAGTTCTCATACACATAGTTCCATTATCTTGAAGAGAGCAAAAACAAAGCTTGGTGTGGAATAATATGAATTCATTTTATTTTTCTAGGTTCTCATCAGCTGCTTACAACCTGTAATATTTTAAAATCAATGTTATCATAGAGATTGACACTTAATAATTCGAGAGTGATTAGAGATGAGTATGTGTTTCATGATGTAGCCAAGATTCCAATAGAGTTAATAAGGTCTTAGGAAGTTTTGTTTCAGATAAATGTGTGAAGAGAAAAGTTCCAGAACATCGAATTATTGATTAGAAATTAGAGTTAACAAACCTTATATGATTGTGTAATAAAGTAACTGAAAACGTATTAATTGTGTAGGGATGGCCCCCAGTGAACTCAAGGAAGCTCTGAAAGAGCCGAAGACATTCCATCCAAACTTTTTTGAAAGAACATTCCAGAATCTCGATATGTAGCTTCCCGATTGTACAAATGCTGCATGCAGATTGGATGACTGTAATAATGATTTTGTTTTTACTGTAAACTGTCTGAGTGTTTTGTACCATACTTGACACTATTTGGAATAAGATTCATTCATACTCGTCTTCTGTCTTCCAACTTGCGAATCGGAGGGTCCTAGCATTCGAGTGCTCAAGTTGTACGCGGTATAACAAGAAATACACGTTCTAGTTATAACAAGTTGTAATAAAGAATGACGTGAGTTAAAATCAGTCAATGCGAATGAAAATTGTGGGTTAAAGAAAAGTGGCTATGATGTAACCAAGACGTAAGAAAAAATTTAAATAATGAATGATTCAATAAAAAAGATGTAATGTTATCAGGGTAAGGAAAGATTTATTAGTACCTTTTTGAGCACATATGTATGAATTTAGACGTTTAATCTCTATGGTTTCGGCAAATTTCAGAAGGTTGGGACTCGATTTTTTATTAATCACCTTGAAAGACTTCAATGTATCCACTTAACTTCAACCTAAATTCAAAAGTGATGATGTTACAGGGTCAATTAACATGTTAACTTCGTGATATTAAGTTTTTACTAGGTCATTCTAGAGACATAGCCATATCGTTATGACCTTAGAGCTTTCATTAATAAGGCCATATAAATAATGGCTGACTGATTTGATCACACTTGATTCGATTAATGTGTGGTTTTTTTCAAATAAATTATGAGTTCGACCTATCTGTAAACCTGCCTAAGTCACCGAAGTCGATGTTTCAAGATGGTGACACCAACTGAGTTATTGTTATTGTGTCCCAACACACGTTGCCGAACGTCTGAATCACTGACAGTGTTGTCACTGAATGTCAGCAATCCTTTAGAGAAAACGATGATCAAACACAGAGTCGTCTAACATACTCAACTCAGAGAGGCCATATTTCACAAGCATAGATTAAAACTGCTCTCACCGATCCTTTGTAGATCTGACCTCTTACAACCAGACTAACATCACAGCGGCACCGAAGATGCCCTAGATTGATATAAGCTGTATTCACTATACGTGGATTAATCTCATCACTCACATCAACACCATCACTTACACAGCTACTCAGGTACACGAAATTCTGGAGTTAGTACAAACATAGGCTACTGCCAGTTTTGTAAAAGTACTTTGCACTTACAAGGTGCAAAGCTCATTCCATACCTACGGATACTGATTGCCAACTAATTAAATGCAGATTGCATGACTTGGGTATCAATACACAAAGAGGCAATATCATCCGTATACCCAAGATCGACGTCTTTCTCCCGTTAACAGATCCACATCATCATTACCTATATCCATCAGAGCTGTTTCGAGAACGTGCATGGAAACACTTATCAATAGTAAACTGCTATATCTGTTGCAGTAACACATTGATTGCAGTTACCGGTTAATAATTAAATCAGGGCTTAATAAACTGCTTTCAATTAATTGTAATGATACCTTCCAATAGCCCATAAAATCTAATTTTATACATTTTGGTTTGATTTTTTTATATATAACCACATTATTTTATTAGATAGCATATATAACAATGACATTTCGTTTATCTGACTCGAATTTCAATAGTCCCAGTAATTAATTCACGATTTGTTTTGTTTTTTTCGATCAATAATTTAGCCATTGTTCAAGTTATCATCTTATTCAAACTATGTTACATTTGGTACATGCATTTATGGGCTATATTCTTATGTTGATTGTAATGACGTACAATGTCTATTTGTTATTGGCTGTTCTATTCGGTTTCACACTTGGCTACTTTCTATTCGCACGAAATCGAGCTCTACTAGTCCGATCACACAACTGTTGTCATTAAACAATAGGCACATAGTTATGTGTGTGTTGGTCAGTGAATTAATCCAAGCTCTCCGGATTTATTTGAAGATAATCAAATTACTTTGTGGCACACTGTTCAGATACATTTTAGATCTCATTGTGTTCTTCATGTTTGTGTTACTATTGTTGTTCCTGTGTTGGTTATTCTTATTTTTTCAACATTGTTCTCTACCTTCATTTTTTACCTCCATTTTTTAATCACCATATCTAGATTTTGTGAATGTCCAATATACAACAATATATATTATTTTGTAAAGATCTATTAAAATCAAGTAGCGTAGGTATGGTTTTGACTGTTTTGTTTGTAATTTCTGTGTTACCTATCCTAAATCATTTCTTCTACCACTCTTTATGTACATTAGATAATTTTACTTAGGGTTTGTTGATTCTCCCCGATCTCTATTATTAATAAAATATTTGTGATTTGTGCTCAAGACATATTTCAATAATACCTTTTAGCTTTTGTAATGTGGCCATGTTTTACTGTTTTGATGATTATGGTGATCAGTCAGCTACTATTCGTACTTCATTAGTTAAGTATATCTTGTCAGCTTTGCTCTTTCATGTTTCTATTTTGTGGAGATTTGAAAAACAAAAGTTTATTCTACATTCTTTATGATTTCAAAAGTTATGCCGTTTCTTTTTTGCAATATGTCAGTGAAATTCAATATGATTTAAAATAAACAGTTACTTACCATATAAACTTATCAGTTGGTTTCTCTGATTTCGAAGTTTTCTCTATATAAGCATGAGATACTCCTTTAAAATTTATGCTCAGCCAGATTATTTAGAGGATCTAAATTTTCCTTATTATATTTGTATAGTTATAAAGTACGTACATGAGGCTTAAGCACAATAATGAATCATTCTAAGGTATAGAAATTTCAGATCATAATCAATGATTAGAAAAGACAGATGAAGAAATCAATAAATAAGTAACAATAGAGTAATCAAATATTCAGTATATCTGTTAGCTGCTTAACTGTACTATCTTGTAAACCTTAATCATTAAGACTACAATTAAATTAAAACTTAATTTACTGGAAATTTCGTAACTTAGTTGCACATTTTATATTACATTCAACTATTCTGTATCGTATGTTCATTTTTTTTCATCTTAACTAGCTAACAATGTCAACAATTGTTTTGTTTTTCAGTCTATACTAACATATTCATTTACCACTGAAATATGACAGAATTAAAAAAGAAATAATCACATTAGCGTTATCATTGTAAAATGATCAGAAATTCTTCTGCTTCTCAATTATAATTTCTTAATCTTTACTTTTGAACTTTGCTCTACTACTCCATATCTTTTTCATTTTTATCTAAGTTTTCTCTTCTGGAATATTCATATATTCACCCTATAAATAAGCAGCCATCTTAACGGTTTTTAATTCCTTCACAATTATTGGCTCTTATTATCCTACATGTACACGTCAATCTTAGTTTTATCTAGGCCTTTTCCAACATAAACTTTGGACACTTATTATTTTTAATGGGTAACATTATTGTTTCTGGATTGTAAGAAGATGATAACAATCCACGAAATAAATGAATTCATGCTAGTCGGCTACATTCTTTATTCACACTTTTGTGAGATTTAGTGTTTAATGTTGTAAGCACAGTTCAATCAAATCAGGAATCACACTAAAAAATTATAGATACACTTAACAAGTTAACAGATACTATAAAAGAAAGTTTTGTGCTTGAGGAAGAGGTCAACGAATTCTTTAATAATGTTGACTCTAGGCAATGTTTAAATGCTCTTTTATCAGATTCTTCTCATTCAAATTATCTAGTCTAATGAGACAAATGAATCAATTCCCGGTCAAATTTTTAATGTCATATCAGATGCTGACTATCTTAATGACTCACTAGTTTTTGATGAAGTACTTAGTGAATTTGAGAAAAATATTTCAAATGAATCAAATTCTGATATTATAACACATGTTACTTGTTCTCACAATGCATTTGTTTTTAGTGGGAACCTTAGTCAATATGATTCATAAATTCTCAATGGGTTCAAATCTTATTATAGTTCGAATGAACCCATATCGAATGCTATTTATCCTCACAATCCATTCACCTCTAGCTAGTGTGAGAAAAGTGTTTTAAATGAATCACATTTCAGGTGTTGGGTGCTCTCACACCTCATACATATTACATAGAATCCCTCCTCAATGCTATGATAAGTCAGTTGACATAACAAGTATTTGTGAAGTAGTCGCGAAACCAGAATGCCCAGGAGCGACAGAAGGACCCCTCAACCTCTGTGTATGCCCATGCACCTCAATATGCACATATAATAGTGCTAGTAGTGATAAAACAGTTCAGGTCAGTAAAGTCACATAATTTGTAACTTGGGTACATGAAGATCCAACGTTGTTTCGTGTTGGAGGGAGAATCATATATGCATTGAACGAAGGAGCGAGGTATAGGACTCAGAAGGTTTAGTAGATTATTCTTCAAATGATGCTGGAAAAAAACAACCGGGATGCAACTACGTTACCTGCCGAGGTCCCAGCGAGTACAAAAAAGAACAACAACCTTTGTAGTAAACTCTCTGTGGAAAACTTATTCTTACGTATTCTATTTTAAAAAAAGGGAGTTGATATGACAGGATAAAAAGGTGACATTACATTCCTTTACTCAATGTGACTTTTTGTTCAACATTACTTCCATTCAATATGCTAATTACTCAGTGTAGGATTTGTGTTTGTTTTCCAAGTATGATATTTTCTTCGGTATAAAATTAATTTGTTTAAGTGTGATGTTTGTTTAATATATGATATTCTTGTATTAAATTAACATGAACTGTGCTCAACATGACACTCAGCTTGTGATTTGTTAAAACTCAGTATCCTTTATATGCGTGTACAATCAATCAATAAATGAGTGTATTTTCGACTAGGGTCGTCGTGTTTTGGGTTTAATAAACCTTCACTTGTACCAGTCTTGGCGTTCTTACTTCACGTCGTAGGAATTGCAGTGGTACCTCGTTGTACAAGTATAAGTGGTAAGCAATCCTGACATAACAATTAGCGACAGCCAGATATAGCAATTGGCGACACAGTCATAGCAGTCGACCACCAGTCATAATACGATTCATATTTTGTAATTCGACCGAATGATAATGTGAAATTTTATCATTTAACTGATTCGTGTATTTTTATTGATAACCTTCAAACTTAGTAACAACTGAAAATCTTAGGAACTAGTCATTTTGTTTTACTGCATTTATTGATAAGCTGTTAACTAAATAGTCATTCGTTACTACTAACTATAAAGCAGAATTTCTGATGAATATAAAAAGAATCTGTACAAAAATAATTCATTTGTGTAGCCAGCCGCCGGCATAGCTCAGTTGGGAGAGCGTTAAACTGACGATCTAAATGTCCCGGGTTCCTACAGGCGACTGGCTGTCAGTCTTCGCCCCCAAGTGCCCTGGTATGGCCGAGAGTGGGGTGGGCTCGCCTTCCCTCTCGAAATGCTCTCACATGGCCACACGTACATAGCATCTGCCAGAGAAGTCCTACTCACTGTCTTCTCGTGACATTACTGTTGTTCACGAAATCGAGAGGACAAAAAGCGAATTTCCGGCGCTCTAACCGGATTCCAAACCAATGGTGCACATGGTCTCCAGTATCCTGAGGGAATGGATGGCGTATGAACCAATCGTTGGTCATCGGCTACCATGAGACTACATCTCCTGACGTTTCTCCACTGCCTTGTGGATCAGACTTTCAGGTCGAAGGTTCTGGATGTGGCCCCTTAGGAAAACCACCTACTTCGGTTTGGGCACTCGGGCAGTATCACGGCGCTCACACAAATCGAATGATTTGTGTGGCGCATATGTATTTGGTGCCTCCTTGTACCAATATCTATGTGTTTAAATAAATAAAATAATGTGTAGTCAAAAAAACGTTCACGCTTGTACAACTCTTAATGAAGTCTTTCAAATGCGTGCGGCATCAGTGGGTGGTGTTAAAACATGTACAACGTCAATTACTACGTATGACTTCCCTACACGCATCATTATGCTTGTTACTAGTCGTTGAGCTAGTAAATTCTGTATTTTTGTATTCATGCTGACAAGGTGTATCACTTTAATCAAATGCAATCCGAGGTGTAAATCATTTAAGAAGAAAGAAAGACAATAAAGCAATCAGATGTTTTTTTGGACGATATAATTCAATAAATCTTCACAATTCTATTTATAGTCATTTCACTTTTTCAACATCAACTGAGTTATAAACTTCATGATAAAATATTCATAACATAAACGGATCACGAGTAACTGATATGCGGAAAAAAACAGACAAATCTTAGAGCCTCGTTATAGGTCAGACGCAAATGTGGGTTATCTACTCCAATTAGGTCATTTATTCAACTAAGACTAGTTTTTGTCCAGTGCAACTACGTACACTTTGTATTTTCCCTCCACATAGTTGGGTTGGTAAACCATCAGAAGCGTAAATATTAACTTAACGGGATAACATATCACGACACTGATTTAGGTTACTTAAAACACTAGGTAGAGTGATTTGATTAGTTTTGTTGCATTCCTTTTAGGCTGAAATATAGTCAATCGAATAAACGATTATAAATTCGTCCACATATTTGCTATGCTCTCCTCCCACGTGTACATACAGTTAGTGAAATTTCAAAGATCAAATCTTGTTTGAGTATATATGCAAACAACTTTTAGATTAATTCAGTGAATAGTTCAGATCAGTTTATTGTAAGGAAATGGACTAACAAAGTTGCAGTGAGAAGCTGTGACAATTAAGGTTCAGACATATACTTACTGAAATAGTTATCATGAGTGACATCAAAAGATGGTCACCCTACACCGACACCCGATAGAAGGTGAAAATATAAATCGCTAGATTGAAGCTTATTATTAAAGGAACGCTCTCGTTGCAATACATTAGGATCCTAGGTTTGACTCATGGTGGGGTCATGGGGAGTTGACAC